TAATAAAAATATATAATGATATATATAATACATTTTGTTTTAAAAAATTTAGATAATACAAATAAAACCTTTTAGGAACTTATTTTTGAAATTCTAAATATTTAAAAAGGTAAAAAAATTAATTTTTTGAATTTCTCAACTACATTACCTTCTTAAGAGAGAAATAACACTCTACAAAGTTTTACTGTTATTATCAATTGAATTGGAATCAAACAAAATTCATATACAGTGAGAGCAAAAAGTATTCATACAAGAAAATTTGTTATAAAAAAAGTCTTATTTGTAGAAAATAAACATTAATTAGCAATTTTATACAATGAATATATTCTATTCTAACATAAACAAACGAGCTTCGCATGTATTCCTGATTTTAAAAGCCAAATTTCTCGACTGTACGAATACTTTTTGAGCATCCAAACAATACAATTTTTAATTTTCGCTTATTTTTTTAGATGATATATTTTCTATAATTAATACACATTTTTTTGGTATATATAATTTTAAGAAACATACAGTTTATTTTATTTTTTATGAATAAATTGTTAATTACCCAACAAGAAATGATCATCAATTAAACATCGAATTGATGTCAAATTGTTGAAATCATCGTATCTATATCGATTTGATATCAATTCGATGACTCATTTCTCGCTGGATAATATTTACTTTTTAAAAATAAAGTTATTTAAAAAAATATTTTCTCTGTACGAATATTTTTTGCACTCACTGTAAATCCAACCAGATCAACACTTGGAGCGCAAAGAGTTAAGAATCTTTTAATGACAGTACCTACGTGAAAATTAATACGATATTATTTCTTCAAAAGATTATATGTATCTGTGAGATTTTGTAATATATCTATTTTGAGGATTTAAATTATATTCTGACGTTGAGGATTTAAATTATATTCTGACGTTGAGGATTTAAATTATATTCTGACGTTGTGTGTGTCCCTGATTGTTCGAGGGATATGTTACAATAGTACAATTGTGTAATCACTTCTCGCGAGTGCTCTAGGCTTTAATGAGCGCAGATCATGTTCTGCATCGTCAAACTGTAATTTGTTCAATAAACGTGGGCGATACTTAGCCTTACCATGTCAAGCTCGAGTTGTTGGGCAGAGGTGTCCGGCACAGCCGTTACCTTTCCCATGAAATCACATATCATGTTAAGCACAGGCCTTGATGTTAAACATTTATGTCACGGGTGGATATCATCCTAACGCCGCGTGTATAGCCTGTTCGCCAATCGAAAGCATTACGTTATATCTCACCGGTGCACGATGCAACGTAACGCGATTCATATTAGAATGCGTCTGGTTGTGTTTGACGAGAGTTCGCGCCTGGACGAAATGCTGCGCTGCAGTGATATGTTTTCGGAGATGCCGAGCGATGTGCACGAGGCGCAGGTAAAAGAAGAGACTCGTCATAATGATGCTAAGTAAGAAAATTAAAATATTTTTTTTCACCCGAGGATCACCTACTTGTTGCTACGCAAGTTGTTCCCAATCGTTACCTCTTTGCGACATAGGCAAAAGGATAAATGGATCATAAAAAATTACGTAGAGGAATAAAAATTTTTTATCTCAGCGTGACCGATGCACGTTGAATCTCATTTGGCTGATCGTTACCTCGGTTGCACAAAACATAAATCCCTATACAAAGAAAAAGTTTCTTCAAATTAAATATACATTAGAATAGTCCAACCAAATAGATCTTTAAAAATGTGATTATTTGTATTAAAATTAAAGTTTTTTTATTAAACAAAATATGTTTCATTTAAAATTAAGATTGTTTCAGTGAAACAAATATAAATAGAACTCTCGAGTCCAAACAAATCTTTTTCTCTGTGTACAATACATGGAAAGGATGCGGTTTTGCTGAAATATCTAAAAGTTTAGCTAGATGTAGATATCTAAAAATAATTTTGTTAAACCATCAAAATAATTATGTAGGATGCTCAAACTGATTACTACATCGTCAAAACTTTTTGCAACAATGGTTCATCTTGTTTGAGATTCTACGTACTTATTTTGAAAATTCAACAAAATTATTTTCAAATCTGTATCTAGCTAAATTTTTAAATAACTCAGCAAAGTCGTTCTTTCCGTGTACTAGTTCAATATATATATATAACTTTGTAATTTATAAGGTTGCAACACAAGACTTTTGCATAACGCATAAGATATAAGAAAACAATTAATGAAAATACAAAATGAAAAACTCTGATTGATTTTCTTACACCTTATGCATAATGCAGTTAGATCGTCAAAGGAGTAATGACGACTCAATTTCTTGACATTTTATGTGTTATTTTTAACTTTCATGTGTGTCAAAATATAAATCAATTCATTTTCGTGGTTAATTTCAAAGTTAACAATGTCCTTAGTATTGTATGCACTTAGTAAGTATTATGAATTAAATTTAAGTCAAATTTAATACGTTTTCTTGAATTAAATCGTTTAACTTTATTGCTTTAACAATGACATATTGAGTGGAAGCACTGGCCTATAGAAATTATCAAAAATAACTCAAATTGGGTATAATTTAATGTTATGAATTTAACAATGAGCGTTATACAAAAATGTTTGGACTTTTAATAACAGTACCAATATCGTTATATTGTCGTTGTGCAGATGTTATATATGGTAAAAAAGTTGCTGCGTGACGACATAACAATACTAAACTTTAAGAGGATGCTGGAGCAACGGCCGAACTTGATCGATGTCGATCTAATTAGATCTAAAGGTCTGATTGGATGATCTAGAGGAATACACTAATAACAGCGAGCACTCATTCAACTGTTGAGTCTGGTGAACACGCCCATTCTTAATTCCAAATAAAACACACATATCACATATATTAAGTAAAACATTACATACATTAAGTAAAACATTATGTTTATTTCTTGCTGTGTTATGTCCTATACAGGGTGTCCCATTTTAATATCCCACCCCAAATAACTTTTTTATTTTTTTCTAAGATCAAAAATAAAAAAGTTATTTGGGGTGGGATATTAAAATGGGACACCCTGTATATCGCATAAATGCTAAGTTATTATGTATTCAGATTGTATATTTCCATTCACTTCTCTTGTGAGCTTCAAAATCATAATTTGAAGGTCTCATTATATTCTTATAAATTATTCAGATGTGGGAAACTACTTTTTGTTGGATATATGTATATTTGGAATCATTTATATGTGTGAAGAAATAACATGCGTGGTAACAGGAAACTATTATAGGCAATTTTTTTTATTTTTCATACAGGTTTGTGTTTTCTTACAACTATTGTGTTTTTTCTTTTATTGTGAAAAAGGATTTTTTTTAATTTCTGTATAAAGGTACTTCCAGACGATATGGTCAATGTATATTAGTGTTCCTAACACTAATGTATACGCTAACTTTGCACAGATTCGCTAAATATTGACTACATTCAATATGGATAATTATATATGCCATGTATGTGTATGCTGATATTTGCTAATGTTGGCATACGTTGGCCATATCGTTTGAAGGCGTCTTTAGAAAAACGAAGAAAATGAAAAAGTACGAAATGTGCGTTTTGTCAATATCCGACTCCAATATCCCCTTAAGAGTTAGAGGCAGTGCACAATTAAAGAAACAAAGAAAAGGGTACAGAGAATAAGAATTTTAACCTATCAAAACCATGTACTGTGGAATGCACAGTTTCTGATAGGATGAAATTCTTATTCTCTGTTCTCCGTTCCCTATTCCTTTAATTATGCGTAATCCCTTACAAAATGGAGGTACTGATACTACTGGCGGGGCCGTATCCTACCGACGTTTCTAATTACGGGTGCGTTCCAAATTAGTATCATTTTATCCTTCTTTATTATTTGGTAAACAACAAGGACAAATGATGCATCATGCGCTTCATACGTAACTCGAAACACACCCCAGGATTCTCATATCGCACGGAGTGAGCTCTATCCACAAAAAGACAGTCATCTCGTTCGGTTGCGATCAGCGGCTTTTGTCAGCTCGGATCCACACTTTCTTTCTAGTCACGATAATCTTTTTCCTTTGTATGGTAGTAAATGTTTAAAAATATCACACTTTACACGGGACGTGACTCCGGGTAAATATGCACCGTTCGCAAATGTATGTCACGTACAATGTCAATTTTATCAGTACGTCGATCGTTGAGCAAGTAACTACTATTTATGCCAATTAACTTCAATCTCGGTTCAGCTTATTGTTTATTTTCTTCTAATTTTTAGAACTAGAGAAAAAGATAAAGAGTAAATTAAACTGAGATTAAAGAATCTATATTAGTCATTGATGACAGAAATGAATATTAGTAGAATAAACTTTGACCTCTAGATAATAAGAAAAGAATCAAAGCATTCTGTAGATAAAAATATGAAAAAGAAGGGAAAAATATGTGAAAACATCTTCGAGACGATCAAACAATCATTGGAAAGACCACATAGTGGTATTATAAGATAGGGATGATTGGAGATCCTCAAGTAAGAGATTGGACACCATACGTTTGGTTCGCCAAATTTTTTAGGACCTGCTTAAGATAGATTGAGATAGATTATGCATAAGATGTCCACGCATCTCATTCTATCTTATGCACCTATTTCGCTCTATTTTAAGCAGGTCCTGAAAAATATGGCTGACCAATCAAAATTGTTTAAACGGTCCAATTTCTTACTTGAGGATCTCCAGAGGTGGTTCAATAAGATAGATAGTGTCACTTTTAGGTATTTTACATACAAACATGCAAAGCAATTTTTTATTTCGCGAATCTAGATTCAACAATGGCTCGGTTATTCTTCTTTGCGATCAAGTAGCGCATAAGTCAAGGTCAATTTCATTTTCTCAAGTCCGTGCGTTTTCCTCATCTGTCATCACTTTGTCACCGATGAAGATACTAGTCAAACGATTTCAAAACACAATGATTAGGTTTCCTAGTATGTAATGTACATCTCGAGAGTCGGATTCAGGACAAGTTGACTTCTGTTCTCTACAGGATGGTATTAGATCCCAAGGCCACTAGTTTGCACAACGATTACGGAAGTTTCGATCGACCGTTGGGCGCCGGGGAGGGCCACGAGAGGGACGTTGAAGCGGCGGTTGATGGAAGCAGCAGCGGGATGGCACAGTCCAGCGATGTTTATCAACGGCACCCGCTCTTGCCCGGCGCGCCGTTATCCAAGAGCAAGGATAAGTGGTCCGGAGTGGCCTCGGGTTCGGACTACTACGAGGATGATGAGGATGAGAAGGATATCGAAGGTCTGGGCAGACATCCTGGGATACCGAATGGTTCCAACAGTGGCATCGTCAAGATCGACATGCCGGCGCCGCTGCGCGAAGAGCCACGTTTCCCCAAGGAAAAATGGAAAACGTTTCTCGGTAAGAGAACGTGGTAATGCCATCGCTTTAAAAAAATTATTCTTTAGATAAATAGAGAGACAAATACATAGAGAGTTATATCTTGGAAAAAAATGTGTTTACTACATAGATAAACTTGGAATTTTCAAGGAATTTCTTTTTTATCTTTGAATTTAAAATTTTTCATACAATTTTATCAGTACTTAGGAAAATTTTTGAAATTTTACTTTTAAAATTAAATTTTGTCTCTTTTTGAAAACATTGTTTCTTTCACTATTTTTTCTTGATAATACAAAGCGTCGGTTGGACAATAAGTATGGTATACAAAAGCATATACAATACCGATCAAAAGTATATAGTTGATAATACACAGCAATAGAGAGAAGCTCACTGATATTGTAGTGAGTGTTCCCTATACTTATCTTATTATATATAAATTTTGCGTTTCTAATTGAAGAAAAAAAAACGATAGATAGAGTCTCATGGAACTTTTACTAATTTACAATATATAATTTGCGTTGCTCGCATTTTAATTTATTTTAAAATGCATTAAAAAGCCTCTGTAAACTTACTTAATTCTCTAATCTTATCTTGAATTCTGAATAATATTTGCAAAATCCGGAAATTTTCAGAGAATTTTGTTACAAGATTACAATAAACATCCTGATGTACAAAAATTCTATTTCAAAATATCAGTAATATAATAATTTTTCCGTTTATTTAAAATAAAAGTCCATGACCTTCAGAATTGCCGAAAAAGTTGATATTACTAATAGCCAAGCTATATTCATAATGATTGAATCAACAATCGCTATTGTTCATTCAACTCGCAATATCAAAATATCATCTCTTTTTTCAGAGAAAAGTAATTTATTTTTTTCATAATTTTTAAAACAAATACAATTTCTTAAAAATTTTTCAGTGTGTCGTAAATTTACAAGAATATATATATATATATATAACTGTGAATTTTTTTAAAATAAATTTCAGAAATTATATATTTCAAATATTTTTTCTAATTATAATAAATAATAAGTAGATATTTTGATAATTAAACAATGCATCGTTAAAATGTACGCTCGAATCATTAAACAACACCAAATGTTTTATATTTTTTCTATCATTTTCTCGGTTTTACCACGACCGGATGTTTTGATGATGTCTTGACGCAATAAGAATGGAACGAGAATTAGCAAACAATTTTCTGAGTAAATATCAAGAAACTCGCCAGATAATTCCGCCGACTTCAGAACCTCTCTAATTTAACTCCGTGTACGTAACGTTCGTTCGCAGCAGGGAGACTATCGAGATCGAGGTCATTACATGGCCTGGTATTCATTCGATACATCTCTGTTCGCGTAATTTGATCTCAGACAGCCTCCCTCCCATCGATCTCCTCTTGCCTAGAGTTCGCGTGATTTATCTCAACGGCTTTTTGCATCAGAGTTAATTGAGATGAACAATATTCGCTGTTCACGAAATGCACAGTGCAGCGGATTTCACAAATTCCGTTATTACAACGTAGATCTGTTACGATGCGGATCGTCGTTGCATGATAGAGTTGATTAATTCGCAGTTATTCTCGAGCACCCGGGAACGGAAGAAACACATATAAAAAAAGAAAATAGCACGATAATTACATTCGAACGAAAGATGTTGCAGATATATATACGAGGGTAGTTCGAAAAGTTCTCGGCTTAACACAGAAATAACGCTACAAATATCAAACTGCTATAATTTTAGACAAGTTTGATCCTTTACAGGATTACTGCTAAAATTTTGGACAGATGTATCAATTAGTTTCTTTATTTCGGTCATGTAAAGCAGCCAACTTTAAATTTTTTCATGACAATGCACTCGTTCACATTTCTGTAATTGAAGAAATTTAAGCGAATATATTGCTATGATGGAACCAAACGTTGGTTAATTTAGGGCGTGTTCGGATTCCCACCCGGATGCTCTCCGGGTGTCATGTTATTTTTGATTAACATTCGGTAAACAACAAGGATAGAGTGACATCTGAGTGACACTCGAGTGGGAATCTAAACCCAGCACTACACGATTAAAACAAAGAAACTAATGAACATCTATCTGAAATTTTAACAGTAGCACTGTGAAGGATCAAACTTGTCTAAGTATGTATATATATATATATATATGTTGCTTTTGTTACAGCATTTCTATTTATGGTTGTAAACTTCATACTGACGACGGCTTCCCTCGCAATGGTACACGAGCGCGTTCCAGACAGAAATGCGTACGGACCGCTTCCCGATGTGGTACTAGACAATGTCACTGCTCAGGATTGGGCTCTTAATGTCTCGGAAGTCTTGATTATGATCATGTCCAATTCCGCGATGGTTTTTATTATTTTTCATAAACATAGGTATGTATAAAATCTAATGTAAATCGATGCCAAATCATCTTTGCTAAAGATAAATCCATGTAACAAATTTATTTCCGTAGATTCATAGTAGCTAGACGAATATTTCTGCTGATGGGCTTGCTCTACATGATGAGAAGCGTTACAATGTACGTGACGGTCTTACCGATCGCCAGTAAAACTTACTATTGTAGCCCGAAGGCGAACAATACCAGTCCGCTTCTCGTGACAAAGAGAGTCTTGCAGCTCATCTCCGGCTTCGGTTTGTCCATTAATGGCAAACACACTTATTGCGGAGATTATATTTACAGTGGGCACACGGTTGTGCTTGTACTCAGTTACCTGATTATTAAGGAGTGTATGTATCTTTCATCATTTATTCTAGAAACAAATACGGATATACATGATGTCGGTATAATTTCACGTAGTGATTTGTAACGCATTTCAGATTCTCCAAGAAGATGTCAACCGATTCATTGGTTAGCTGGTTTAGCGGTACTCGTCGGGGTAATTATGGTCTTGGTAGCTCATGGCCATTATACCGTGGATGTACTTATAGCTTACTACGTTACTACGCGTCTGTGGTATATTTATCACACGCTAGCCAATAATCCAAATCTCAAGGTATGTTTTACTTTCGAACATTGAAAATTCTCTGATATAAGAAAAATATAATTTATTTAAAAATTAATATAAAATTTTAGTAACATTAATAAATTATAATTACAAATAAACATAATATTTGATAATAATAAACTTTAATAAACTATACTATATGTGAAATGATGATCATAACATTTACATTATAATTTGTATATTGTTAATGTATAATATAATGAAATTTTTGCAGCAATACGGACCAAACAATTTTTTGGCCCGGCTCTGGTGGTTCTCTATTTTCAAGTATTTTGAGAAGAATGTGGGCGGAACAGTGCCACGACAATATGACTGGCCTCTACCCTGGCCTCGACGGTTTCTTGCCAAGCACCCTAACCGGGATAGTTAATACTTGTCTTGATTTTATGATAGAGGCTGTTAAAAACAAAGGAGTTACTTTTGTTGTATATATTTTACACAATACATTTATATACACACAATACACACACACACACACACACACACACACACACACATACACACACACACACTCCACACATACCTACGCACGCATTCACAAATGTATGTATAAATTGAGGCTTGTTAACGTGGAATTCACTAAAGAATATGCATGGGACGTACGATTGTTTTCAGAGTAACTGCACATTCATTGTTGAAGCATGAAATTTTGTGTTGTTCACTTCTTTATAATCCATGTGAACTCTTATGTAGACACAATACCCGTGCTCTTTCACGTGAAGTTATCGTCCAGTCAGCCCGAATTTATTTTTTGTTTGATTTTTATACAATTTATATACAATATAAAGAATAGATATAGAGAGATGGATTTTATGATAATATAAAGATTCGAATAGAGGAAGGTATTCGAGTTAATGAGACACATATTGATTCGCTTATAGCGTTTATATTTTCAAATAGTTACAAATTGAAAGTAATATAATAGATAAGTAAACATAGGATAAATGTGTGTTTTTAAAAACTCGAGCGATATTATGCAATAAGAAGTACTTGTAAATTTTAAAGGGCCATTGTAAATAAATATTAGGACAAAATATAAATCCTTCCTCTAAACGAATCTTTGACGTTACATGCTCGACTTGAGTCGACGTCTCGATCTTCCAATGTCTAGACGTCGTAGTCCTTGACTTTGCATTCGCGATACGAATTATTCCGATGAAAAACGATTTTGCAAACGAATTTGCCAAAAATGTATTGTAGACTCGTGATGCCCTAATTAAAGTTCTATATTGTCGATCATCCTCGAAATTGTTTCCTTCGTGCTTTGGAAAGAAATACCGAGTATCCAATACTAGAAGCGATTGTGCAATTTCGTGGGACCAAAACAAGAACGCTCAATAGTAAATATTAATTCATATAATGTTGACAAATTAAACACACCGAGTCATAAGAAGACATCTCCATTATATATATAAAGTTGATAAAAAGTCTTAATTATATTATTAAGGAATTCCGTAACTTTGGTTAAATTACATAATATATGGTCCATCACAAATGGAATTTGCATCTCTTACCTGCCATATGTACAAATTGTATATATACGAATCGATAATAACAATAACTTGTATATATAGCAGGTAAAAGATTCAAATTTCATTTGCGATGGACCATACATTACATAATTTAATCAAAGTTATTAATCAAAATTCCTTAACAATATTTTTAAAACTTTTTACACAACACCCACGCACGCACGCACACACGCACACGCACACGCACACACACACACACACACACGCACACAGCCTGCCCCAGATTTGGATAAGTTCATTCATAACATATCTTGGACATTGAATTTCTAGAAGATACATTATTCATTCTTCTAGCTTCCATTAGTCGATATGCGAAAGTATCATATAGAATAATAAGAAAAATATGAAACAAAAAGAGGAAAGTACTGAAGCATTCGTGTTTTCACGGAATAAGATCGTTGTCCGCTTGTGCATACACCGGATGTTGTCATACATACATATACATGTTGCAGAGGCAATGTAACAAATTGTGCAAAATGTAAAAGACAATTTTGTATTCGTGGAGAGATCGAGTAACAAAAATAACGAATAATCATCGATCTTTCATACGATATCCTCTTCCTTCGTTCTTTTCGTGTTTCATTATTTCAACGACTTCTTGCCCGACTCTTTTTTTCTCATCTGAGGAAAAAGAGTAACATAATTTAATGATGTCAATGAAATACCGCGATTCTTCAAATATTTGTATCAACAATTATGAATCTCATCTAACAATGTACAAGTAAAGCGGTAATAAATCCGTGACTGTTCACGTTTTCCTAGCATCCGATGAAAGTTGCGTATATACTATATGTATGTTGTAAAAGAGAGTGCTGAGTAATATTTAATTATTAGCTTAAATTGCATCAAAGGTGATTTGTTATCTTATTCACCTGTGATTCATTGTTGAATCTCTATTACGAAACGCACTTGCAATTCTCTACCATTTTTAATTAAATTTTTGTTGTCTCTTTTATGTATATAGTTCAAATAAATAATAAAACATTTCTTACGATATATTCCGCGGAAGTTTACATGTAAATCTATATTTTTTATTATATATATATAATTTGATGAAGTAATTGAAGATGCGTTGAATTGTATGCATCATAAAATTGATTTATTATATTTTTTTTATTATTCGTCGATTACGATTGGACTCGTTTGATAATTGAACAGAATTCGTGCAAAAGTTACAAAAAAGAAGAATGATGTGTGTGTATGCGTGTGCATGTGTGCGTGCATGCGTGCATGCGTGCGTGTGTGTGTGTGTGTGTGTGTGTGTGTGTGAGAAAGAGAGAGAGAGAGAGAGAGAGATGCGATAATGTTGTTAATAGTTAAATAGTTAACTCTTTTCCGTCTGTGATGATAAATAAATGAAAGAATAAATCACCGTTGAGTAATTTCGCGGTCTTAATATAGCAATCGACTGGCGGATCAATACCAATGTGGCCAGATATTTCTTCTTGACATTCAAATTATAAATGCGTGTAATTGTTAAACATATATTTTAATAAGATTAATGTAGTTGGTAGTGAAATTTTTAGCTGGCATTTGCGCAGCATGAAACGCCGTATTTAAGGGTATATTTTTGAAATATATGCGTAATGTATATAGGTACATTCTCTCAGCTGACATGTATGTGGACTACATATGTCTAATGTAGTAAAATGATACTATGTCGCTAACGAATACGAGAATGGACTAAGCGAATATAGATACATTCAAATATTATAGATATACATTTGCAAAGATTGATATGTATTACGCGCATTTACTTGTGTATGTATGTGTATATATAAATATACACATACATATACAGGGTGTCCCATTTTAAATAATGCATTAAGATTTCTCGTAAACTATGGTAGATACCCTACTATGGTAAATATTTTATTATAGTGTTTTGAAAAGCTCTCGAGGTAAGCTACAAAAAATGTAATAAAAAATAGGGGGTTCCATTAAAAAAAATCAACGTACCTTGACCTGGCCTTGGCGACATCATCCAAGGTCAAATCAATGGTACCTTCTTATGTCCCCCTCCGAACTATATAACTTTTGTTTGAAACATTTTTCTGTATCTACCATAGTTTTCGAGAAATCTTAATGCATTATTCAAAATGGGACACCCTATAATATACATATATACACGCGTAACGCATATTTTCATTATTATGTTGCTCTTCGGGGCGGATACGCTTCATACGCGGCAAAAACAATTTCAATGTATAGAGCTTAGCGATCTGACGTTTATGAGAATGATATTTTAGATCTCCCAGAAGACTTGCGTTAAAAAATGTAAGCCAAAAGATACTGTCGAGCATGCATATATAGGTATACGCAGACGTGATATGTGCATGCATAATACATATTTTAATATACATGTATGAATATGTATTATAAAAATGATATATTTACACGCACACAATAAGAAAAAATTTCTTGTTAACGGAAGAGCCTTTCGTTGATGTTTAATAACATAAAAAGTAACAAAATGTGTATATATATATATATATTATATATATACTCTATTATATATGTGTATATAAATATATATATGTATATATATACACACACGCATATAATAGAGTTCGTGTATATGTATATGTATATATATTACAACCGTGACACACATGTGCGCGGATATAATTGCGTGTTTATATGTATATACATATATATCTATATATTTTTACGTGTAGATATTTTTTGGTAACTTGTTACAATAAACTGATTAGACAGTTAAGTACATATATTATATATAGGAAGAAAAAAAAATATATATGCGTTGTAAATAAAGAATAATCTAGCAAAAGAGCTTTTGTCATTGCGCGAAAACTAATCAAAATTTTGTTACCGTTAAATACATGTATACAACAGCATTCTTCGATTACTCGTGGGATACAATTACAGTTCCGTGGATTAAATTCCTTGAAAATTGAATAAGTGATGATGCAACTTGGCTTCTATTATTCGTACATTATACATAAATCTTTATCAAAACATCGATATTATTACAATGAAAAGCAAGTTGTATTTGGCTTCACTTTATTTGTACTTCTGTATTTATAAAATATTTATTACAATTTTCATATGTTGACGTAATAAAGTTTTAAGTATACTTGACTCGGATTATCTCTGTATGTTCTTTACCTTTCAAATCGCTATAAATTCTTTTTTATATTTTAAGTATGATTTTTATGTTGACTTCTCGAAACATATGTAGATACAATTATTGTATTAAAAATTACAGGCTTGTTTGATCGATACCTTTTGTTTCGGTTTCAAATTAATCTTTTGACAGATGTCTTCCTTTGCATAAAAGAATTATTTAATCATACTCGTAAATTTACAAGTAGAACAATCCCAAAGCAAAATTCTGCAAGCAACGCAGTAATTTTTATATTGTTAAAAACGCGAAACAAAAATATAATTTAATATTATTTTCTTTCAGTAATTTTTATCATGGGTTAAGTAAGTACTAACTTATGTATAAATTACTAAAATATAAAATTTTATAGAATTATAAAAAATATTATCTAATATATGCATCCCTGTAAATTTTTTAAATTAATTTCTTTATTAATTTTTTATAGACAAACACATATGGATATTCGGATTATCTGAATATTTCAGAAGAGAAATGTCGAAAAGTAAATTATCACTAAAGTTAGAAGGCATGGAAAATCATGATAGTATCGGCGAGGGTGATATAGGACAAATTAAAGGGAAAAAAATTCCACTTCGTAACAATATCAAAAAACGATGGCATCGCTTTCGAGTTCTAACACCGTGTTCGTTTATTCTTCGAGGTTCTCGTGCGATGAGCGATCTCCGGTTCAAGTATAAAAGTCGAGGACGACAAGCAGCACCTTGCGCGATAGTGGCCATCGTTTATGGTCGCCTATTTGAACCTAAGGAGTGGACGAGCAATCACATAGATCAAGTACTCGAATATGGTGACAAATTGTTCCGCGTAAGTTTGAGGAGGAAAAAACTGAAGGACGATGAATATATGAGGACCAATCTCATACATAATGAGTTCTATATTGGTTTCTACAAAATTTTGGTTGATATCGAAAACAACGGTATCCACGGCAATCTCTTTAGCGAGTCAGTTGGCTGTTCGGATTTTGCTGAAGGCCTCCAAAAATTTCTCAAGAATAACGATTCCGGAGTAATCACCGCTCAGGGTAGTTCTGTTGCTGTATGGCGTCAGTCTGGAAATGCTGGTTTCCTTTGCTACGATCCAGCCTCATGCGATGAGACTGGTCTGCATTATCCTGATGGCACAGCTTGCCTCATGAGGTTCAAGTACATAAATGACTTGCATGACTATTTGCTGAAGAACCTAAATTGGCGTTACGACTCTCGATATTGTATCGTCAAAGTCACCTTATTGCGTGTCACAGAGGTAATAGCAGCAGTAGAATAGCAGAGATAATAGTAGCAGAGAGAGAGAGGGGGGGGGGAGAAGCTTATTTTTCTCTATGAAATGTTACTTGTAAGAATAAAATTCATTATTATTATTACAAGTACATTACATAAGTCCATACGCTATTCATATAAAGATAAAAAGTGTATTACGATCTATTAATCCTATTGACATCGATGATCATAAAGTGGACTGCACAAAGCCTGTGCCCAAGGAGGAAAAATTGCATAAACTCGCAAGGATACGGAAAGAACCGTTATCAATCAATATTTCAAATTATAGCATCGATCGCTACTTTGCTACAGAGTTATTGGTGAATCGAAACAATTTTGACACAGGATATTCATACGATGACATGCGAGTAAACGTGCCATCCACATTTACGGAATTACCCGGCAAAATAGCGATTCTTCATGGTCTAACTCATGAAGGCGACGAAATATACAAAGGTAAAGGTGAACAAAACGTAGCAAATTGCATGATGGCTATTGCTATGAAGAAGGTGCATCCAGTGAAGACATGGGTGAGATCGACGCTGGATGAAATCCTAATGATGGGTGACTCATTGTATGCTAAAGTTAAATCCGACAAGCCAATAATAAAGATGATGACAGCGGACGACTTAGATAATATCAAATTTCAAATAGAAGATCGTAAACTAGTGATAGATGTCGATCTGATTACCGTGACCGGTACGATTACCTCGAAGGTGCCGTCAGTTTTGAAT